TAAAATGCGCTAAATTCTATTTGGTATGCAGAAAAACAGCTACTTTCAAAAACAGAACAAAACCGATAGAACTACCTCGCGAATTAAGCGATATAGCATTAGCATTCTAACAACACGGGTATTACGTTCGACTGCATAAATATTCAAAAGTAAATAAAAAACAGCACTCGCATATGAACTGTATTCCATAATCTTTAATGAGCTAAGCATCCGAAATAAAAGTAAACGAGTGCTTACCATCATTACGGAATATGAAACAATAATTTTCTTCATAATTTGCCATGCTCTTATTTTTGACATTCCAGTTATATTCTCTTGCTAATTCATATTCATATGCAGCCCCTTCTGTGTAAGGAATCTTAGTTTCACTATCCAGTCTTCGAAGTTGCTTTGTTTCTTCCATTGGCAAGAAGTATGCAACAAAGTGATCGCCCGTCTCGTCAACCATTCCTCTGATTACAGCTTGGGTAACATCATCTTTGTGATCCAAAGTTAGTGCTCCTTTACGAGCTGGATCGTCGTCAAAAATAACCTAAAGTAGGTAGTGTAATAATATAGTGATAAAAATTATAAATATGATACTAACTTGGGCACAAGGATATCTCCATAGGGTATAATCCGGAAACACCGGTAAGACCTCCAATGCATGAACATTTGGTTTACTATAATGCGCTTTGATAGGAGATTTGGCAGCCTTAAAGGTCGCTTCAATCGCTGATAATTGGCTTTCACGATCTCTATACAGAGGTTCTTCATTTAGCCTCTTCTTGATACCATAACCCAACCTGATCGACGTTTAAAAAGGCAAATTAAATACTTAGATTCCACTTTTTCCGTATTACTCCATCTATTGTACATTTCAGTTGAAATATATTCGGTTTTGCGAAGCCATGAAACATAACGTTGGTGGCGAGAAGTGCGCGAATTAAGAACTCCTGGATTGTCATCCTCCAAAAGAACTTCGTCATTTGGATGCAATTTGGCTAATTAAGTAACATTGTTGATAAGACATACCTCCTTTATCTATTTTAAAAACATCAGGGTCTATCAGGTCAACTTCAACACCAACATCAGTTTCTGTCAACAATTCATGCTTGTAACTACGCTCTAGAGAAGTTGCAACATATTGAACAAATCTA